CCGAACCTTAAGAGGTGGTTTCATCCACATTGGGCTCCAGTCGCCCCGGCCAGCAGGGCTTCAACTAGTTCTCAACCACCCTAAGGAGGGAATGTAGGGACAGGAGATACAAAGGAAAACACACCAAGTCTAGATTCTGATCAAGGTGCCACTTTATTTTCTTTCATAAGGGTTTATATAGTTCCACAGGGTGGGGGGAGCAAGAAGCTGTCATTTGATTAAGGTGGGGCAAGCTAACAGGATGTTTGTATAGGATGTTTACAGGGTGAGAAGGTCAAGGGCTCTGACTCAATGTCCTGTTGCTAGGCAATCTGACTGTAAGATGATCTAGTTCCCTGTCTTATTGGGGGGTCTGTATTTTTCCACTAAATAGAGATTCTGTCCTTGTCCCTGACAAATTCATGCAATGCCATGATTGTTCCTGAGAGTAAAATAATTCCACTCAATGTTTCATGTAGTTGTAAAAACAACTCTGTGTAGATGTAACCAACTGTCTTATTAAATAAGAAACACAGAACCAATGTAAAAGAGAAAGCCGAGAGGTCAGAGCTCAGAGCTAAAATTTCACCCTTCCTCCTGCGGTGGTCCTAGCTCTCCAAAAAAGAGTTATTTCGTGTGTGCATGTCTTTTCATAGTCTTTTGTTCTGCCTTCTCATTGGTTGTAAACCCAAACACGTGACTGCCCCCCTGTACAGCCCCCCAGGTCTTAAAGGCATATGTCTTCAATGCTGGCTGTATCCCTGAACACACAGAGATCTACCTAGCTCTTCTACCAAGTTCTGGGATTAAAGGAGTGTGCCACCACCGCCATACTCTTGCTATGGCTCTAATACCTCTTACCCCCGGGCAACTTTATTTATTAACATACAATCAAAATCACATTTCAGTACAATTAGAATACCACCACAACTCTGTCCTTTAAATTACCCTCATTCATAATTTTCCCTTAAAGTACTAAACTTTTATTTTTTTAGAAAATACTTATTCAATACTTAGATATGACTCAAGCTATATATTGATTATAAAACTACAACAGAAATAGAAGAGACAGTAGACTTTTCCTTTAAGAAATTTCAAGAGTCTACCAGACCACCTATCAAAATTACAGAGGACATTTATTTAAATAGAAGACTCCAGTATTTGAAAGCTTAAAATCAGTTAATCAAGAATAACATGTAGAAATCTACCTGTTGAGCAGATCCATGTGGATCTGATTATGATTTTGAGGAACACATTTTAAGACTATTGTGTAAAGGTGAGCATTAAACCAAGTTTCCGTATTTTGTGTACTTTGCATCTTGGTATATTGAATATAGACCATTATGCATTCTCTCTGCTACCCAAGAGTTAAAGATTAAGAAGTGAGAAAGAATTGCATCCCAGACTAAAGTCCAATCCCCTCAGGAGCATGCCATCAGTGATAGCCTGGCCTACAGGATTGAATGAGCTGAGGAGATCCCTACTCATTTACTGTAGATGAGATTTTATGAGTGTGTCACCATCTGGGCATCATGCTGTCCCAAAGCTTTTAAGGTATGTTAGAGGAGATCCAATAGCCATAGCAGAGGAGACACAGACTCAAGTTTCCATAGGAAGGGCGTGTCCCTAAACAATACTAACATTCATCAATGACTAACCCTGCTCAGCTTTCAAAGCTAAATTAGACATCAACCACCATGGGGAATTTATACTGTGGGTTCAGTACAGCCTCCCTTCTTACAATACCCTCTGCACACCAACAACGTAAAATTAAATGGTTGTTCATACATACATCTCTTTAGTCATAAAGGCAAGCTATTTTCAAATAAAACAAGTAATCGCAAATGTATATTTTTTAGGAAGAGCAAGCTTCTGTTGTTTTTAGAAAAGTCTATTATGCTCCTTGAAGTATTTTTGCAAGTTTCATTTGATGTTTTCTTTGAAGTAGCAATTTTTTTTTCCTGTTAGACAGGTCAAAGCTCATAGTTCTTCCAATTACCTCAGATGTAATCTTGAACCCTCTCTCAGATTCCCCATTTTAATTCAGCAGCTTTTTTTTGTCAGTAACATAAAGTAATTAGTAACTGGATTATAGGCAAAGACTAATTGCTTATCACTTTGATCTCCAATATCATGATACCTTTCATATGTAAACAAGTTATGAAGCTCACAAAATTATTTTAACATTGTTACACTCCTGTAAATTTTGAAATATTCCCTGGTTCTTATTTTAGTTCTATCTCTGTCATATGTATATAATCCACAAATAAAATATCCATGATTAATATTACCTATATCCACTTTAATTGAATAATACATTTCTAAACCATTAATGCACACATTTGAGCTCAAACATAGCTAAAAGGCCTATTGGTGAACTTTTTAAAAGATAATGGAAAGCACTTTAAAAATGAATGCCACATAATCTATGAGCAATCATATCCAAGAAGCATTTTTTTTTCTTTTTGTTAATTATGGCCTTTTACTTAGAGGTTTCCATAAGCATGGCTGTTTCTGAAGCAGGGGAAACCCTTATTTCTTTGTGACCTTTAAATCCTCACATGTAAAGTCTCTGGAGCACTCGGAGAGGCTGTTCCTGTCTGTTTAAAAGGAGAAACTGACAGCTGTTCAACTACTAAGACAGCTCAGGTCTCTCTGCTGGGTGTCCCTGAAAACAAAGAGACTGGATTCCCCTGCTGGGTCTAATTTTATGAGCTCTGTGGGGAAATTTTTCTATGATCCTTGTCCCTGCTGTCTGTAATGATTATCTGGAAAAAAGCAACACATAATATTTTTAGAAATCTCCAGCCTTAACTAAAATAAAATTTTAGAACCACAAAGAATATTTTGTACCTTACACAAACTCTTAAGCTTACTTCATGGTTTCTTTTCTGTGCTATGCTGCGTGGATCAGACCCTGGGCTTTCCTGTGCATTCTAGACAAGCTCTCTTTCACTGAGCTAAGCATCATTCCTAATGTTTTCAAAAGGCTACAATTGAAATATACATTAGCATTATTGTAATGTCCTCATTAGGAACCCTCTTGACTATATAGACTGAACAAGGGGGATGCCATTCTACCCTAACTTCCATTATAAAAGTGTCATTTGAGCCGGGGTGGGGGATGGTGGTGGTGTATGCCTTTAATCCCAGCACTTGGGAGGCAGAGCCAGGCGGATCTCTGGGAGTTCAAGGTCAGCCTGGTCTACAGAGCAAGATCCAGGACAGGCACCAAAACTACACAGAGAACCCCCACCCCCCATCTCAAAAAAACAAAACAAAAAAAAAGTGTCATTTAACCCATGATTTGCCTTATGTCTTTGGGGCTAATACTGTCATTTTCCTCTATACAATAGCCTTCATTATTGGCAGCTTCACTTTCTTAGATTTTATTTAACTCTAATAAACTGAACTTTGATAATATTAAATGAAAAATCCAGTATTAAGTTATTCATAGGTTTTAGATTCCATTCCATTAGAGTTTTCCTGCTTTGCCCACAGTCAGGACAAATCTCTCTCACCCACCAGTCCCATAGCTGCTCAGACCCAACCAAGTAAACACAGAGATTTATATTGCTTACAAACTGTATGGCCATGGCAGGCTTCTTGCTAACTGTTCTTATAGCTTAAATTAATCCATTTCCATAAATCTATACCTTGCTACATGGCTTGTGGCTCCGGCGTCTTCACATGCTGCTTATCATGGCGGTGGCTGGCAGTGTCTCCTCCCACCTTCCTGTTCTCTCAATTCTCCTGTTAGTCCCACCTATACTTCCTGCCTGGCCACTGGCCAATCAGTGTTTTATTTATTGACCAATCAGAGCATTTGACATACAGACCATCCCATAGCACTTCCATTCTATCCTACCTGGCACAGGAATCATCTCTTTGCATATCCATGTAGTATATGCTACAGAAGCCCTTGGGTAACAGATCTATATTCCCAGTATCACAAGTGACCCTTGCATGGAAGCCTCATGCAGCCTCACAATGGCTCCCTCACTTATTTCACTTAATCTCCATCATTTCCACAAGAAGGGTGAGTATAATGTTATTAAGATTTTTGTGCATGTGAGGAAGTCCACAGTCACATGTGATTTACTGTATGTTGTTATATTTGCTACATCCTATCTTTGGCTACTATTGTTAATCTCTTATTGTGACAGACCTATTTATTAAATTTTAGCAAACAGGGCTTAGCACAGTTTGAAGTCCTGAAGTCTTTGCAATATATTTCCCATGAATATTTAGAAGACTGCTATTATTTCTGTGGTATTTATTTACATGCCAAGTGTTTACTTTCACTAATTTCTGGGCAAAGTGTTGTGCAAATTAAAGGAAGCATCAGATTTTATTAAATCTGAATTTTATTAAAATCAATCAATCCTTGAATACTGAAAATTATATTCTATAACATTGAATAACTTTACATCCTTTATCAAGCTTTATATCAGATAACAGCTGATTAAAAAAGTGCTTGATGATTTATGAAAAAAACTTCTTAAAACTTAAGATGAAACTCTTCATATGAAATAAATCACTACTGGACCCATGGCACATTTTGAAAGACATGAAAGATCAGAAATAGTACCATGACAGCATTCAGTTGAAGAAGCTTGATCACTACCAGATTTCTGTGTTTTATAACTTCCCCATTCTGGAAACTTGGTAACAGAAAACAAAACCTGTAATGCTTTAACTTACATTTCACAGTATAATGTGTTTGACTATGGTATAAAATGGCTTCTTTGGGAATCTAGAAACACTTAAAGTTCAGAATGAAGGTGGGGAACAGAGAAATCAGAGAGAAGAGAGAAGGGAAATCTTTTGTTTCCTCCTCTCTTCCCAGGAGTAAATTACATAAGCTAATAGAGGACCAATGAAGACCCCAGGTCAGCAGAATAATAGACTGGACAACATTGTGATAGAATCCAGGAGGAATCATGGTACCAAATGCAAGCAATAACTTCTGTTTTAGTACAATCATTAGTATGATTAATGTTTCTATCTTTTTTATTAAGGTAACGTATTTGTTTGATAATGGAGGGACAGTCTTCTTTGCTATTTTTATGGCAATATGGGGTAAGTATTCTCTTTTGTTACTCATTTTCCAATTCTGACTTTCTAACAGTATTTCTGTGCTGCATACACATGTATACCCGCATACACTCACACACACACACACACACACACACACACACACACACACACACACACACACAAGTACACATGTAAGTGCCACTCACACTATGTATTCATTCAACAATAATATCTCTAGGATGATGCTTACTTTTTTTTTTGCCTTCTTCATACATTCACTCACTGGGAATTTAACTCTTATTTAATACTCTAATCTCCAAGGCTTAGACTATCAGAGACAAACTAAAACTAAAGTTAAATCTCTTGTATTTTTACTGGTACAAGAAGTGGTTAATGAGTTGGCTTGATGCTTTTACTTGTTGTTTTGCCTTGTTCTTCATACCTTTAGAGGGACAGACTGTTTCACATATAACTGAACAAAAATGTATAATGTATTGCAAATTCAGTTTCTAGCTAGCAAGTTAAAATCAGACTAATTATGTATAGGTATTCTTTAGCCTTTTCCTCATGTTTCTCATTGAGATTTTAAGGTGCCTAATTAATTGAAACCCGATGTGTACTCATGCACATTGGAATTGCTTAAAACATTGAGGACTTTTAGGGCAGCTATCATTTTCCTGGCTGGAGTTGGTTTACTTACTGACCCTGCTGAATGCATTCATTGTCAACTGGCCAACCAAAGAGACTGACCATGTGTGTGTGTGTATGCTGTTGTAGAAAAGTGAAATGTATTAGAAGACGACAAGGCTTTCATTATTATTGCCTTAATTTCTCAGGATCAGAAACTTTACCATATCATATTTCTGGCTTTGAACCAAACAAAAAAATTACCATCCAAATTGTACCCCAAGAAAATGCTTGTTTTGTTCTGTAGTTCTTGATTACAGACAAGAGGAGTGAAGAGTTAACTCTAGTTTCTTGTTTAAACACCAAATATTTTAAGAACATGTAGTTTTGGTCCCCAGATTTTGTGTGAAGAATGGTTATTATTAAGTTATCGTTCAGTGCTACCATGGTGATGTGTATTAATTTTACCTTATTCCACAAAGGTTTTCTAGAGAAATAAATGGAAATACAAAGTATGATTATATAGTGCATGCTTCAGCCCCTCTGAAGACTGCAAGGAAAGAAAGCTTTTGGGTGATGGACCTGCTGTTCTGCTGCACGGCTCCTGCCTTTGCAGCTCTCCCTGTGCAGAAGGCACAGCAATGATCTTGCAGAACCTCTTGAAAGGTGAATTTATTAAAAGGTCACGATGGAGATGAACTCTTGCCCTCTGTAGCCATTCTTCTCCTAGTTTTATATCGAGGTTCGAAGTGAAGGTATATCATCCATGGGAATGCTATCATGCACACTTTCTCCACCTTCTGGCATGGATGAATCTCTCACAGTTGAGTTGTAGTAACTAGAATTTCCAAAATTGATATCATAAGGTTCTGGTGCATTGTCTAATCGCAGAACTGAAAAAAAAAAAAAAACAGCAAAACCAACAAAATAGTTTTATGGTGATATTCTAAATGATGAATGCTCAGCCACCTAATTATATGATCAGACTGTACGAATTATTCTAAGTGATGAGCAGATACATCTTCTATGTGGGCTTCTCAGACATTACTTTTGAAATATTAGATAAGTAGATTTTACATGACACATTTATTTCTATGAATAAGAAAACAGTGGTATTTCTAAAATTCTAAATTGGACACAAAATTAAGAAAGTAAGAAAAGCATCTCAACAAAGCATACCAATACCTTATACATGAAAATATAAATATAAATAATCAACTTTGAATTTTGTGGTTTCAATCTCTGGTACAAAAAAATATGTTTTAAATAAGGACAGTTAATAAGACATCATTATTTACTGATTATCTTAATACCCTGATAGTCACCCCTGTGAATGTGTAAAAGGAAGCAAGGAGTTTATGAAAATATGCTTCCTTCTGATCTGATAGATCCAGGTAATCACTCAAGATAGTCTGATAGACGATTCAGGAGATTTCTGTTTCATTTTTAGCAAAGTGAAATACTTTTTTAATGAGCTTGAGTACATTTTTTCAGAGAAAACCTAGGTTGTCCTGGGCATCTCACAGTACTGCAAGCAGGGACTAATTACTAATTATATTAGTGATCTAATTATTCCTGTAAGTATTATGTTGCCTGCCTATTTATTAAGCCATCTGCTTACAAACTAGCCTCTTGGGAACTCTGGGTCTTCGAAGAGGTCTCCTAAACTGTATGGAAGAGATCAAAAAGGGTCTCATGGCTGCCTTGCTCCTCTAAGCATTAATCACAACTACAGAAAGTAAAAAGTTGACAGAATGATTTTTTATATTATGTACATAAGACACGCTTCTTATTAAAAAAATATATATATATATATATATATATATATATATATATACTTGAAAACTTTAAAAATCCTCCTCTTTAACTTTGAAACATGTCACTTTCTTTCATTTGGGTTAGTAGAAACCCATAAACAGAATTATCCTGAATTTACGGTAAATGGATTTGATTTTGATTATGTGTAATATATCAATGATGAACTGAACTCATGAAAGTTCAATGGGACTTCACCAGTAGACTCATTAGAGGAAAGTAACTATTTGTTATGGGGGCAGAAATCTTTTCAAGAAAAGAGACCTTCTCCTAGAGCATAAGAGAGAGAAGAGTCAAATGTCTGTAGTGATTTCATTTATCTTTTGTTTGAAAATATATATTAAACTCTCGGCTTTATTTAGTATATCTATTTATATCAGCTACAGATATTATTGTTGCCTTTTTAATCTAGTGTGTGTGTGTGTGTGTGTGTGTGTGTGTGTGTGTGTGTATGTGTGTGTTTTACGCTTATGCATGTTTGCATGTGTACATGTATGCATATGGAGACTGGAAGTTGATGTCAGGGGTCTTCCTTTAAGGGATTTTCACCTTATACATTGAGACATGGTCTCTTAGTTTAATGCAGATCTCGGCAGTAAGACTAGGATCACTAGTCACCTTGTTTGGGGAAATTCTACCTAACAAGTGCTGAAATTACAGGCTCATTTATCAGAAGTTTCCATGGGTTCTATGATCTGAACTGTGGTTGTTACGCTTGGGAAGCAAGTGCTTCAACCATTGAACTATCTCTAGAGCCTGGTTAGCTTTTAAAAAAGCATTATATGAGTGGGGAAGTTCTGAATTAAGGTATGATGTTTTTATTTCTGTACATAAGCCTTGGTGTAGGGAGGAGGGGACTGGACCTGCCTCAACTGAATCTACCAGGCTGGGCTGACTCCCCAGGGGAGACCTTGCCTTGGAGGAGATGGGAATGGGGGGTGGATTGGGGAGGAAGGCTGAGGAGTGGGAGGAGGGAGGAAAGGGAAATCCGTGGCTGATATGTAAAATTAAATTAATTATAAAATAAAAATATGTATTAAAAACATATGAAGCTTTCAGACACTGTGTTTCAGAGCCACATCTGTTTTCTGGGTTTTGCTTTTATTAATATTATTATTATTATTATTATTATTATTATTATTATTATTGACTAGAACTGTTTGTTTTCTTTTTAAGGGATAACAATAAAAATACAATATAATAAAGATAAAACAAAGACTAACACATTGGAATTGGATAAAACAAACACACAGAAGAAGAAGAGTCCAAGATAAGGCACAATAACCACAGACTCACTTGTTCTCACACTCAGGAATCTCATAAAAAGACTAACTAGATGCCATAAAATCTAAACGGGGCCTAGTGTAGAACCATGAAGGCCCTGTGCATGCTGCCTCAGTCTCTATGAGTTCATATGAACTCTGATCATGTTGCTATAGAAAGCATTATTTTGGAGGGTCCTCTATTCGCTCTGATTCTTAAAATCTTTCTCCTTACTCTCCTGTGGGGCTCCCTGAGGCTTGAGGGGAAGGGTTTGGTAGAAACATCCCACTTACAGCTGAGTGTTCCAAAATGTCTCACTCTGCATAATATCTACCTGTGGGTCTCTATTTGTTCCCATATGCTGCAAGAGGACTCTTTGATGATGGCTGATTAAGAAAGTCATCATAATTTTTTTTCTGGGTCTGGGATATCTCACTCAGGAAGATTGTTTTGTTTCTAGTTCAGTCTACCTGCAAATTTCAGAGCCACATTTAAGAATTTCATATCACTGTCTTCAAAATTTACATATATGTTTTGATTTAGGAAACATTGTTTAATGCCACTTTTAATACAATGAACAAAAATTCCAAGTGTTTTTTTAAGTGTTACAAAAAAGTAATGCTAATTATCATTAATATTTAATAGTAATAATAATTTGGCGAAGGAGATGGGTGCAAATGAATCTTGTCTGCTTCTGTCATACAGCTCTGACTCCTTCCTAGGTAGAGGGTGGTCACCTAACTAAAACCATTGTGTGGGAGTGACGGTCTGAAAGCAGTCTTTACCTGGTTCATTTCTGTCATCATAAAGTCGCCGATGGGAAAATGAATCTGTTTTCCGTTGTCCACACAATAAGTAGCCAACAAGGCTAAGCAGGGAAGCACCCAGAATCGCCCCTAAAATGGTGCCAAATACTATTGCTGTATTCTTAGTCTCTGGAAGAAAAAAAAACAAGTTATAGTTCAGAAATAGAAAAGGAATTATTCAACAAATGAAAATGGATGCAAGGACACAATATATAAAAGATTTGATATGTCTTAATAATTAGATAATGGTGACAGTGTATCTCTGTATGTATGCTTTATCACCTACTCAGTATTTGTGATATAGTGGTTAAAAAATAATTAATTGTAAAACTGTACATCTACATTTTTACTTTCTTTGAGATACTTCCAAGTTTTTTATTTATAATTGTCTTATTACTTATTATCAACAACAGTACTAAAATGCCATATTTTGTAGAAGATCTAAATTCAGTAATTAACACTGTATTTATTAAGCTTTTTATAGACACTGAATCCATGAGGAAATTTAAAATAAAAATGAATTTGACTTAG